AGAGGCAGAGGAGAGGTCAGTAAAAGTAGCACGGAGGGTGAATAGGTTCCAGTCAGCTTTGGCAAAATGCCACCTAGGGAAGGAGAGGGGAGGGTGAAAAGAGAAAAAGGAAATAAGGATGGGGAAATGGTCACTGTTATGGAGGTTATCAAGAACCCGCCACGTGAGATCGAAGTAAAGGGACGACGAGCAGAGAGAAAGATCAAGACAGGAAAGGGTGCGAATTCGAGAGTCTACATAGGTGGGCTCACCAGAATTCAGAAGAGACAGGGAAGAAGAGAGGACGAACGGTTCGAGAAGGCGGCGTCGGGTGTTTGTCAGAACATCACCTCAGAGGGTATGTCGACAGTTGAAATCACCCAACAGGAGCATTGGCTCTGGCAAGGAGTCAAGGAGGTGCTTAAGATCAGGAAGGGAAAGCGGGACATTTGGGGGGAAATAAATGGAACAGACTGTATAACATTTACTCACATAAACACGAGCGGCAGAACAATGGATAGGCGATGGAAACAGTAGGGGGACGAAGGGAATATCAGTACGAATCAAGAGAGCAGTAGAGTTATGGGTCTTGCTGGGGGGGGTGAGAGAAAGGTATAACCACAAAAGTGACCAGGACGAACACCAAGCATCGGTTCCTGGAGACAAACACAAAGAGGTGAAAACTGTGTAATCAGAAGTTGGAATTCATAGAAGTTGGCATAAAATCCATGAATATTCCATTGAAGAATAGACATTATCAAAAAGAGAAAGGATAGCAACAGAGAACAATGAAGAAACAAAGGTAAAGAAGAACACAGTATATTAACCCTTTAACTGCGCAACACATCATATGATGTGTTCAGTGACTTGCAGTAACTTGCGCTCCACATCATATGATGTATTGGAGTACTATGCAAGATTTAAACAGCTCGCGGATACACGGGGTTCACCACACCTTCATCAGGGCTCTTGTAAACAGACGCCATTTAAAAAAAAATCGTGGGCCAAATTCCCGGGTGTGAGGGGCCTCAGTATTGAGTGAGCTACCAAGCCTGATGCACGCAGCATGAGCTCACAGCACTGCTGTTCAGCTTGTGACCACAGCATCGCCTAAAAATGCCATAATATACATTTGCATGCTATTATTACAAAAGACCCCTGACTGTGATAAAAATGACCAGGATTCGATAATAGCAGGATTGTTGTGATAATTAGCGCTGTAGCGGGAGGAGTAATCTTGGTGGGGAGGGAGGTATCATTGTCTGCTGACTCTGTGTGATCACCTTTTACTGTCTGGACTCACTATACCAGCTTAGTTCTTCGCTATGGTAAATAAAAACATGCAGATATATGTACTTATATATAATGTCTGTCTATAAAAGCAAAAACAGTATGGTGGGAGGAAGAATGGTGGCGAGTCAGGTGAGGTGAGGGAGGGAGGGAGTGGCAGCCAGTGGCGGGCTGCCACTGGCTGCTACTGCCACTCAGCATACCAACTTAGTTCGTTCGTTATTTGTTCACTACTTGATGAACATAATAATTGAATCAACAATAGGCACACCATATTTTTGAGTACAGCGATGATTTACTCATTTTATTATATAAATATATCACACTACACACTATTGAATAATATTACAGCAAAAAAACTACTTAAAATCAGAGACATTGAAATAATTAGGTAATTATCTCTTTACAGCAACTCCTGCCTGACAGCTGGCGAGCAACAGACCGTCTGGGACGCACACTGAGTAGGCGCCTGTTTTTTGCCAGACTTCCCCACCCTATAGTGGGCAATATATGCCACTTACGATTTTTATATTATTTTTCCCATGATTAGCGAACACAAATTAACAGGTTTAGAAGAAAAAATAATTTTTTTTTTTTTTTTTGGTATGCGCCTGTGGGTGACAAATGCTAAATAGCCCGGAGCAACACAAGGGTTAAGTAAGTTCAAGATCAGGGCCAGTAAAATCAGGGTTAGGGGGGCATGGTTAAACTGAGTAAGAATTGAGTGAAGGGAGCGGGAGGACAGACCAGAGGCGGACGGGTAGGGTCCAGAGGAGGAGGAAGACACAACTGAGAGGGGAGGTTAAGGACAGGAGGAGGGGGGGTCAGGAACCGGGGAGTGTACCTCAGCAAGGGCAGCAACTGAGAGGGAATCAGGGGATAAAGAAACCTCAATAGCTGGGACAGTTAATTCACTCTGATCACTGAAATGGAAGGGGACGGAGCGAGGTGGGGGGTGAGGAAGAGAGTGATGCCTTCTTACCTGCCAGGGAGGATGATGGAGAGGAGCCAGGCTTACGTTTCTGACTCAAAGAGACAGGTGTTCCAGCAACAACGTACTGGGTGACAGACTCAATTGTCTCAACAGGAAAAGATGAACGGGAGTGAACAACATGGAGATTGCTGGGAGGGTGATGGACATCAGCCTGGACAGACGGGCAGCATGGAGGGTCAAGAGACTGGGGGAGGGATGGGAAGAAGGATTAGGGAAAGAAGGGAAAGACACAAGAGACATGGCAGACTGGGTAGGAAAGGGGGAAACTTCAGATGGAGAACCAGGAGAGGGCCCCTTCAGGACAAAACGTAAAGGAATAGGGCAGGAGGTGATGGACGTGTCCGGGTCTAAGATCTGGAAACGGTTGTGAGACTGAGTAAGGTGGGAAGGACTAGGAGAGGTAGAACGCAACACGCGAGAGTAGGATATGCCAGCAAAAGGGGTGAGACTGCGAATTTGGCGTCTCGCTTCAGGAAAAGGCAGATGATCCCGGTGTTTTAAGTTGAGGATGGCTTCCTCAAGTTTATAGTGTATACAAGAGCTGGAGAAGGTAAGGTGGGCAACACCGCAATTGAGGCAGCGAGCCTGGGGGGAGAAGTGTAATCGGATTTGGAGTGATCATCGGCCCCACAGATGGGGCATATATACACAGTACTTAAGCATTTGAGGACACCATGCCCGAACTACCAGCACTTATTGCAAAGTCTAGGAGAGGGGAATGTACTCCTGAACGGAGCATCTGGCACCAGCAAGAATTATAGAGGGCGGAAGGGTCCTACTATCAGAGGTGATTTTCACAACTCGAAGGGGCTGACGGCAACGACCACGAGAGGGGTCGAGTGAACGTGTCTACCTGGAGGACAGGATGACCTTGGGCTTCGAGTATATGTTTAATATCCTCTTGGCAGTCTTTTAGGTCCCTAACACCAGTTGCAACATGGTGTGGGAGGAGAACAGTGCCAACACTGGCATTTAACTGAGCATTTTTGGAGACCCGAACAGGGGGTCTACCCAATGCAGGACAATGCGGCTAAATGGGTAGCTGCATCCGGTGAAGGAGCAACGATGACACATGTACCTAAACTGGATGAAATGGCTGGGGTTAAAAGTAACAGAGGCATCCACCAAATCAACAAGGTGTTTATGGAGTGAGACATCGTCAGGAGATGTAGAATCCTGAGGGAGGAGATCAAAATATTTAGCCCACAAAGCAGGACCAAACAATGCTTGGTACGTATTAGTATGGGAAGGGATCGTGCAAGTACAGCCATGGCGGGGACGGTGCTGAGAACCTCTAGAGAGAGAGAGAGGGATTAAAAGGTGCAGTAGTCACTATGAGAGACTGAGCCACGCCAGGGGATGAGGTGGTCACCGCTGGGGGCGTATGGCTCGACCCAACCACAGAGGAGGGAGGGGAGTAGTCAGGAGGGTCAAAAGAAGAGCTATGTCTGGGCCCAATGTAGCGGGGGCTACAGAGCCCGGTCTTCCAACACAGTCCGACTCGGGGGCATGGTCGCCCACCCCCACGAGCCTGAGAAGTCATAAGAGAAATGGTATTTAGTGACATGAAAACGAGAGGTAAGACTCGAGGCACATTCATGAATGTGCCCCCATACCCACCACGGAGCCACAATTAGAGGCAAGGCATCCAACAAGAGACTTATTGCTGATCTTGCCAGGCCCTCTTCCCCAGGTGTGTCTTGAGTATACGCCCCACAAACGTCACCTTAAGAACCGTCAGTCTGTCGAGATCAGGTTCAGTGATGAAAGGAGGATTGACAATAAAAGGGTCCCCTCACTAGAGACGTTGGGTACTACAGTTCTACGGGTGCAAGAGTATGCCTTCTCAAACACCAGGGTGTCAAACAAAAGAAGGCTGAAAGAATGATCAAAACAGGCAAAAGGTCGGCGGGAAATGACAATTAGAAAGGAGAAGAAGGGAGGAGAAAAACGAAAACATAAGGAAAAGGAAAAGTTCTTCAGCACAATTTGTATGAACAGCAGCAGAAGCATAAGGCCACAAAAGAACAGACTGTCTCATGGAGCATCACACTCTGGCAGCTGCCCACCAAGCCCCCCTCACGGCATCAACGGGCCGGACAGCGAAAGGGGACTAGTGATGAATAAGATGAAGTCTTTTTCTAGTTGGGCCTCGGTGATTTCTCTGATACGATTACTCCATACTAAATGGTCACATCAGTCATGAAAATTCTGCCTCCATCATCAGCATATACAAACATTACAGGCCTTAGGGTGGAAGGTATCACCCACCCGACAGGCAGCATGGCAGAGACAGAATAAATGACCATCGCCATATAGAACAGTGTTCAAATTAATGAGTGAAGGATTGGATGGCCAATCCACAGCAATGCACGCCAAAGACCCACAGGGCTTTCAAGTACACATCAGGATGGCTGAACCTATCCCCCAACCACACCATTACTATTTAACACTTACTGTTGTATAATGAACCATAAGTTCATCATGCTCTTATTTTAAACTTTATCTCTTTTCTTTGCATAACGTACATCTGTTCATCTTAATTAACTTGATCCATCTCTTATATAGATGGATCTTGTATATCTTATCTTTACCACTCATCATCATAATTTTATCCTTCTAGTATTTCTTATTTATTACTGTTTTACCTTTCTTGAGCAGCTTAGCTTAATAATACAGTATATTTTTATATTTTTTATTTTACTACACAATGAAAAACATATTAAATTAGGCCTACCTCCATTCCAGTTCATTTTCTCGATCCTCCTGTATTTCTGCTTGTAGCTCACTATATGCTGCAGCATTTTCTGGTTTCATTCTGCAATAAGACACCATAACACCATATAGATCTGTATAAGCTGTAATAAATAAAATACAGTACAAGCCTGGTATGGTACAATACTTATTTTAGGTGGGAATGCATTCTTGTAGGATATTATCAAATAATAAAGTTTGTTATATAAAATAACAAGAGAGTGAAGGAAATTACAGATTGCCAAATGGATCAAACAAGGCATCTCCTATTTATAACTACCCAAACTTTTTCATTATGTCTAACCTACGCTTGAAACGGTTCAGCAATCCTATGTCTATCATATTTCATAAATCAGCTACCCCAATTACAAACCAGTATTTACCCAGGTATTTCCTGAAACTAAACTACTTGCTAATCTATTCCTATCTTACATACTGTATCTGTGCATGGGGTTCAACCACTGCAAACTACCTCAAGCCCACATCACCCAGCAAAAATCTGCTATCAGAACAATAACAAACTCTGCTTTCAGACAACACTCAGCCCACCCCCCACCCCACCCCCCACCCCACCCCCCACCCTCTTTCTTTAACCACCATGCTACGCCGAGTTTATTGTGAAATTCCCCCTATGCGCATGAAATAAAGTGTTCCCAAAAATTCTTTTTTCTTCGTAAAATGATAAATTCCCTTCCCTGGACATGTTTATGTAAAAATAAATACCAAATTCCACTTACTTTGGTTGTGGGGATGTGGACAAGGTGCGCTGTGACATCATCAGAGCTTGGTTGCTCGTGCATGACTCGCCCAGACACAGTCGCACGGGCCATTCAAGCACCGGGTGTTGCCATAAACATATTTTCAATTATTTGTTCTATGTATTTCCAATGCGGTTTTATTTTTTTTTTTGTATATGATGCATATTTGCATCCTTTAAAATATGTATACAGTAGAACTTTCATAATGTTCCATGGAACTGTGATACATATGTCAGTAATGTGTCCACAATAAATGTTTATTGTTGCAATATTACTCATTAAAAATTCACTAAAATTACAATATGTACAGTTTCATACACTATTTACACAGTAACACACTCAGTACTTCAGAAGTGAGTAATAATCAGTGAAGTAGTTCATGGTACAGAGTGCGACTTCGCTCTCATTGCACCAGGTACAGATAGATTTTCGCTTCCTGTTTCTTCATTCTGTGTGCTTGTAAATAACGCACTCACGTACACCCTTGGCATTAGTACCTGTAGGTGTTATGTAGCCAAGCTTGTAAAACGTAAGGTAGTCTTGAAAAGATTACAGGAAAGATCAATTTGTAACGTAGTGGTGAAAAGATCACTTTGTAAGGTCTCACACAGGAAGAGATTCAGCCAACCTCAAAGAGTGTCCAACAGTCTGTAAGAGATTGAGCTATTCTTGAAAATATATATGTGGAAAACACCACCATGAAAGCCGCTAACACTGTTCATCTATGCTACTTGTATCAGATTCATCATCACTGAATGCAGAAAATGATTCATCTATGTATCATCTAAATAAATTGGAGATAGCATAGCATAGGTGGGCAAGGATGGCGCTCAGAGCTAAAATTGGATACGCTCACTGTATCGTCCTCATAGGTGCTGTATCACTTGCATCCGACCTTTGTGTTAGGTCCTTATTGCACCTAGCTTCACAAATATTATGACGCTTATGTTCTTCAGACAATAAGGTTTGAATTTCACCGACAGAGCGCGACCTTTCAACACCGCGTCGGACAGGTGTTTGGGAGCCAGAGGCGCGTGCGCCATCAATGGTTACTCACTAAATACTAACCCAGCCAGCAGCCCTAGGGTATTCTGGGATTTTTTCCATGATGGCTGCTTCTCACTGGAGGTCCTAAGAGTCCATTTCGTACACAACCAACCTCGCACACATTTAGAATGGGTACAAAAAAATAAAAGAGTTTTCTCGGTTGGCGCAATTTCCCACTGACCGAGAATACTCGGTTGGCACAGTTAAGTGGTTAAGAAAACAAAATGAGCTCAGTAATTAATTTCAATAAATGACATATAAATCAAATTACAATTAAATTTAAAATTTAAAAAATAACAGGGTAAGATTATATTAATGAGTAAAATTTTTCTATGACACTGAGGTAGATGCTTACATAAATACTAAATCTGCTGTAAATAGAAAATTATTATAGCAGAACACAACAATAAATGCAAGTACACAAAAAATAGAAACAATTAGAAGTAGAATAAAGATCACCGTAGATAGCCAAGAAGGATACAGAAGTTAGGTAAGGAGAGAAAAAAAATCAGTAGAGACTGACAAGATAATATATAACAAAAATAATGAGACAAATAATAATCGTAAAGTAAAATAATCTTAAAGATAATTAATTTTATATACCTAAGTTATGAACCTATAATTGGTATGAACATTAAGAAAACAAAATGAGCTCAATAATTAATTTCAATAAATGACAGATAAATCATATTACAATTCAATTTAAAATTTTAAAAGAACAGGGTAAGATTATATTTATGAGTAAGAATTTACAATGATACTGAGGTAGATGCTTACATAAGTGCATGGAGACTTAACTGATTACTTAGGAACTTTTATGGATGAGAGAACATTAGTTAAACGGTAAGGCAGAGACAGCGCCTTGGACAAGGTTAGATTAAGTTACATTAAGCTCTGACCCTCATGAGTTATTTTCAGTATTGGCATTGGGTGGATTCTGGTTTTCAGATATACCACAATCATTAAAGAAGGCCAGTAGTTGTTGGTCACACTTTATTTCATATCTTTTTCCTGCACTTTCCTCCTTTACAATAATCGTTCCATTCCTAGTGTAGCACTGCTTTATAGCACCAGGGTTTAGTTTGTGAATTTTTTGCAGCCTGAAGAGGAGGGATCCACGCTGCTTTGTAAGGCACTCATTTATATTGAGGTTGGTTTTTTGCTTAGCAGCTGATTGTATGAAGTCAAACTTAACAGCAGGATTTGCAAGTTTGATGAGCATTCTCCTACTGCTACGGGAACTGTTTTTATCTATCCTGACAGCTGATTTGATATCAACGTTGACTTTGACCTCTGAATTAATTAGGGTGTGGGCTATGTTACAGAAATTCTCACCTTGTTATTCATCAGATAGATCAGCAGAGTTAATTATCAGGGAGTCATGAAGTTGTTGCTGCTCTAGGTCGTCTTCGGAAGCCACCTGGTGAATCTGAAGACTTATTTGTTTTTTCCAGCTTTTGAAGGCAGTCACTTTGAGCTGAATGGGTTTCCTCGGCCTTGATCTTGTGTATTTGATCCATTGCGTCATTTGCAACAGTTTGTAAGCTGAGAATTTCTTGGTTGTTATTCGTCAACGATTCAAGGAGGCAGTCTATAATTTGTTGTTGTTGGGAGACCGTGGCTTGGAGGGCCGAAATTGCTTCAGATTGCAGGAGCACAAGGTTGTGGAGTTTCTGCAGCCATGGGTTACTCCTCAATGGTTTGAAGTTTAAACAGGGAGCCATAGATTGAATGAATTCAAAAGCTTGAGTTTTAAGTTGAATTGAAGGAAGGGGGTGGCAGAGAAGAGGGGAAGCGGATGCTGTGTTTACCAACATCGGCGAAGATTGCAGCGTTGCCAGTGTTTCATTCAGGTCTCTTGGTGTTATGGATAAAGAGCGAGAGGCACCCCTACCTTGCTTGTTGCTATGTTTGGGCATGTTTTCGGCGATAGATTCTTGGTAGTGTTTCCAGAGGTAGATACTTTTATATCACTAGAGAATGCTAGTGGAGTTAGGCGTATAGTGAACGTTTGGCAGAAGGGTCGTTGATAGGCAGGCACATTGAAAATTGGTTAATTGTGGTTGACTACTGTTAATAGTGGTTGATTACTGATTTTAAATATATATATATATATATAGTACACATGAGAGGATGTGCAGTGACTTAATATCTAACATATTTAGAGATTTGAGTAAAGGTACCGGGTGATGTCTGGGGCCAGAGTTAGATATTATTCTAATAGCAGCTTTGTGTTGAGTAATTAGACGTAAATGATTTTGGGCAACAGAACTCCAAGCACAAATACCATAGTTGAGATTTGATTTGAGTGGTCTTAATTAATATATTAGTCTATGTTCTATTATGTTCCAAACAAAATGTTAGGAGAGAGAGTCCAGTTGCTTTTCTAAACAACACCTTTTTTTTCCATTCTGTTATTATTGAAAATAAACTAGTACTATTGCCACAACTACTGACTCCATGGTGTAAGTCAATGCCTGCCATCCTTATGTGTCGCCTTCCTTGCATACATTGTTTTCCATGACCATTCTCACTGATTGATGGTGAGAGGTGGCACGGGCATGAATAGCTCGTAAGTTCTCACTGTGTTAGCTTACTTTTGAGTGTTTTACCTCTCACCTTTGGTTACATTTGTTTTTGTTTCTTTATTTTAAGTTTTTGCCCGAAACGCTTGGCGTAATAAGTGGCTTCATAGATTGTGTATCTCTTGTCCCTACAATTGTACATTACTCTTATATTCTTTGTACACACATTCTTTGGAATAAACACTGAATTGAATTGAAAATACTCCTTTTGGGGGGAATTACCCGAGCACAGACCTACCGGGTCCGTCTAATTACCGCAAGCTACCACAAGCTACACAAGCTTCACAAAGCTTCCTGGCAATACGTTAGTAATGAATAAATATCATATGTTAGGTTAGGCTGACCTAACCTAACCTAACCTAACCTAATCGACGCTTGGATCGTCGACTTGATTTGGCGTCACCAGCTCTTTATTTTCGTCTAATTTCTTTATAAAAAGATACTTTTCTCATTAAAATTATGTTTTTTCGTGTTGTACATTCAGCACCAACATTATAATGAGTAAATATATCATATTTATTCATTACTAACGTATTGCCAGGAAGCTTTGTGAAGCTTGTGGTAGCTTGTGGTAATTAGACGGACCGGACCTACCCGACACCCTGTATATAACCTCTCCGTCACCACAACAACAAGCCCACAAATGTAACTCAAGACACCACTCTTCCTGAACTTACTTGCTTATTATAGTCTTTTCCGTATCCATGGTGATATTGTTGCGTTGGAGCCGTGAAGGGGGCGGTGTGCGGGTCCTGCTCCAGTCTTCCTAGAGTATTGGGTCACTCTGGCCATGATACTGGCCGTTTCGTACACCAGACGGACCTCTTCTTAACTTCAATGTCTATCCTAATCTAAGGTATACAGTATAAGATATGTGTAATATACGGTAAAATATATTTGTTCACAATAGTTAAACAATACCAGATATGCACTTTAATTAAAATTATATTTTAAGGCAAAACTAATTGTATGACATTAATGCACGAACTGATAGCCTGTCCAAATTTTCCTGTTGCCAGCTTCGGCCAAAGACTTTCCTGTATATTTTAAGCAATAATTCATTGATTACAATACGGAAAACTCATATATCACATATTTAAAGATATTACAATTATATAATACGCATAAATATAATTCAATATTTTTAGAAGTAACTAAAAGTAACAATAAATGAGGTAGAAATCTTGACAAAATTATTTGGTAATAGTTGCTAGATGATAACACCACTGAGCTATGTCTCGCAAATGTTTAAAGATGCTAAATAAATGTACGGTGAGGACATGTGGCTGCCATATTGGAGTTCCTTCCTGGTGTTTCCCCCAATCTATAATTTAGGTGGAGTGATTTATTGGTATATATTCATGAATTAAAAGGAAGATATACAAATCTATTGTCAAATCTATATACCCCTCTATTGTCAACCAATGTCTGTTTTTTTTTTAAAGAGCGCTGTTTGTCGACAGAATTGTATTTGTGCTGCTTTTTCAGCTATGTTTTCATTTCTTGTTTTCATTTTACTCTTTATGCTCAATTAGTATTAAGCTTTAGTCATTTAAGTTTTTCATGCCCGAAACGCTTTGCGTAATAGTGGCTTTAGGCATTGTATGTACTAGCTCTATCTATAAGCCCACCAATCTTTGTAAAAAAAATTCTTGTATGTATGTACCTTACCTAAATAAACATTTATTTATTTATTTATTAAGAGTTGGATTCATAATGTAGTTGGGGTTCAGTCCCTGAGCCTACTATGTGCCTCTGTAACCCTTTCTACTACCGCCCAGAGGATGGGTATGGGGTGCATAATTAATGAATTAAACTTACAAACTCTTAACTCACAATCTGGGATACCGGGTTCGAATGCCGAGCGGGATAAAAATGCAGCCCGTCCTCCAAACTACACAAAATCATTGACGTTCTCTAATTATTCAACACAAAGCTGCTATTAGAACAATATCTAACTCTGGCCCCAGACAGCACTCGGTACCCTTACCCAAATCTTTGAATATGTTAGATATGGCTTCATGCATGGAAGAAGTGTGCATCATTGCATCACCATCTTTCTTACCCTGCACACTGAAAAGTCATATACCACCTTCCTAGATCTTAAGTCTGCCTTTGATATTGCAAATAGACATGTTATCTTGAGTGAGCTTGCAAGAATGAATATTGGTGGTCGGCTTCTTTGTTGGATCAGGGGTTACTTATCCAACAGGAAGTCATCTGTATTTTTCCAGGGGCATAGGAGTGTAACAAGAGACTTTGAACTAGGTACCCCGCAGGGTGGTGTCCTCAGTCCTACCTTATTTAATATCTTAATAAACACGCTGTTAAACTCTATACCGAGCAAACCAAACGTCCACATCATTAGCTATGCTGATGATATTATGATACACACCACTGGGTATGCTAACACGCAGAACACTCTTAACTCTGTATTAGATTCGTGTCAGGACCTAGGTTTAATTATCTCAGCAGAGAAAACAAAGATACTAAATCGGCGCCCACCCAGGCAGGGAGGAGCTGTTATAATAATAATAATAATAATAATATTTATTTAGGTAAAGGTACATACATAAAGAGATTTTACAAAGTTTGTTGGCTTTATAGATAGAGCTAGTACATACAATGCCTAAAGCCACTATTACGCAAAGCGTTTCGGGCAGGAAAAAACACTAATGACTAAAGCTTAAAACTAATGGGTAAAAAGAACAAAATGTGTTGAGTACAAATAAAAATAGAGGTAAAAGAGGGGGGAACATTGTTGAAAAAGCAGCACAAATACAATTACAAATTATTACAGAAAATTACATTCAAACAGCGTTGATTTGAAAAACAAGAAAACTTGGCTTATTAGGCAAATCGGGCCTTGCATAGTAGGCTGAGAAGTGCGTTATGGCTATTAGGTACGACATATATATATATATATATATATATATATATATATATATATATATATATATATATATATATATATATATATATATATATATATATATATATTATTAAATATGACCGAAAAAGTAAGATTAATAATTCTAACACGAATTTTCTCAATCTTTCGTACATTACGCTTCACTGTTGGAGGTAAATCAAAAATCAATTCTCCAAAATTCATTTTTATTTCTAGTCTGACGCGACACGGGCGCGTTTCGTAAAACTTATTACATTTTCAAAGACTTTAGTTCACAAATACACAACTGAATAGAACTTACGTATCTCCGATTTTATATCTACATTTGAGTGAGGTGAAGGGGTGATGTGGCATTAACACAAGACAGAACAAAATGTGGTATTAATAGGGTATTAATTTCATCAACACAAGACAGAACAAGAGTATTAATAGGGTATTAATTTCATCAACACAAGACAGAACACGAAACAATGGATATTGAATAGAAGTGTTTGTAGAAAGCCTATTGGTCCATATTTCTTGATGCTTCTATATTGGAGCGGAGTCTTGAGGTGGGTAGAATATAGTTGTGCAATAATTGGCTGTTGATTGCTGGTGTTGACTTCTTGATGTGTAGTGCCTCGCAAACGTCAAGCCGCCTGCTATCGCTGTATCTATCGATGATTTCTGTGTTGTTTACTAAGATTTCTCTGGCGATGGTTTGGTTGTGGGAAGAGATTATATGTTCCTTAATGGAGCCCTGTTGCTTATGCATCGTTAAACGCCTAGAAAGAGATGTTGTTGTCTTGCCTATATACTGGGTTTTTTGGAGCTTACAGTCCCCAAGTGGGCATTTGAAGGCATAGACGACGTTAGTCTCTTTTAAAGCGTTCTGTTTTGTGTCTGGAGAGTTTCTCATGAGTAGGCTGGCCGTTTTTCTGGTTTTATAGTAAATCGTCAGTTGTATCCTCTGATTTTTGTCTGTAGGGATAATGTTTCTATTAACAATATCTTTCAGGACCCTTTCCTCCGTTTTATGAGCTGTGGAAAAGAAGTTCCTGTAAAATAGTCTAATAGGGGGGTATAGGTGTTGTGTTAGTTGTCTCTTCAGAGGTTGCATGGCTTTTCACTTTCCTTCTTATGATGTCTTCGACGAAACCATTGGAGAAGCCGTTATTGACTAGGACCTGCCTTACCCTACAGAGTTCTTCGTCGACTTGCTTCCATTCTGAGCTGTGGCTGAGAGCACGGTCGACATATGCGTTAACAACACTCCTCTTGTACCTGTCTGGGCAGTCGCTGTTGGCATTTAGGCACATTCCTATGTTTGTTTCCTTAGTGTAGACTGCAGTGTGGAAACCTCCGCCCTTTTCCATGACTGTTACATCTAGAAAGGGCAGCTTCCCATCCTTTTCCATCTCGTAAGTGAAACGCAGCACGGAACTCTGCTCAAATGCCTCCTTCAGCTCCTGCAGATGTCTGACATCAGGTACCTGTGTAAAAATGTCGTCAACATACCTGCAGTATATGGCCGGTTTCAAGTTCATGTCGACTAAGACTTTTTGCTCGATGGTACCCATGTAGAAGTTTGCAAACAGGACACCTAGGGGAGAACCCATGGCGACCCCATCTACTTGCTTATACATGTGCCCATCCGGGCTCAAGAAGGGTGCCTCTTTAGTACAAGCTTGGAGTAGTTTCCTCAGAAAATTTTCTGGTATGTCAAGAGGAGTACAGGCTGGATCACGATACACTCTGTCGGCTATCATTCCGATTGTCTCGTCCACAGGTACGTCTCGTCCACATATATATATATATATATATATATATATATATATATATATATATATATATATATATATATATATATATATATATATATATATATATATGTATGTATGGCACAGGTACATATATATATATATATATATATATATATATATATATATATATATATATATATATATATATATATATATATATATATATATATATATATATGTACCTGTGCCATACATATATATATATATATATATATATATATATATATATATATATATATATATATATATATATATATATATATATATGTATGGCACAGTGTTGTTCCTATGTTTGTTTCCTTAGTGTAGACTGCAGTGTGGAAACCTCCGCCCTTTTCCATGACTGTTACATCTAGAAAGGGCAGCTTCCCATCCTTTTCCATCTCGTAAGTGAAACGCAGCACGGAACTCTGCTCAAATGCCGGTGTCTCCCCTAGGTGTATATATATATATATATATATATATATATATATATATATATATATATATATATATATATATGTGTACCTGTGCCATACATATATATATATATATATATATATATATATATATATATATATATATATATATATATATATATATATATATATATATATATGTATGGCACAGGTACATATATATATATATATATATATATATATATATATATATATATATATATATATATATATATATATATATATATATATATATATATATATATATATATATATATATATATATATATATATATATATATATATATATATATATATATATATATGTATGTGTTGGAAATTTCCAACACTAATACAATACTGTTGTATTATTATTAACTATTACTAAAATCTACTAATTACTGTAGTAACTAAAATTAACTAACAGTAGTGTTCACATGAACTAATAATTGTATCTGTACAATAATGCTGGAATTCTTACGTAACCAAGCGCCAGTATTGCGTCAGATTCTACCAAGTTAAACACATTTATATCCAGTGTGTTAGAGAATTGAGTGTGATTCTCTAAAATCAGCATTATTCCGTGTGATAATTATTTACCGATAACATAACTCCCAAATAATGCCAAATCGAGAGTTTTTAGTTACAACTGTTATCAAGTAATGAATTTAACGTCACGCGTGAATGCCATGGAGAGAACTAAAATCATCTCCATTTCTCGTTTACCATCGTAAGACGAGAAAGTAATAATATTTAGCTCCCTAGAATTACAACCCAGTCTTTATTAAAGCATTTTAGCCACAACTGCGCAAAATAATATTATTCGTGTTAAATAATTTCTGTGGCGAATGCGAGACGCCGGGGAGAGGGAAACGCCATTGTGGTAGACGACAGCTCGAGGAGAAGTCGCCAGTGTGCGGCGTGAAGACTTGTTGCGGAATTGAGCAACTCGTTTTGGTGTCAGAGTCTAGGATACGTTGTGGTGAATTGTCAGCAAGATTTAACCTGATATTCATCCCGGAACTAGTTAATTTGTTCTACGTGATCCATCGTGACCGGCCAAATAAGCGCGTCGACATCCAAGCCAAGCTAGCTACCACGTGTTCGCCATTGTGACGCTAGAGCCTGGGACGCGGTTTCGGCAAGCTTCAACTTATACAGTACCCTATTAGCTAAGTATATATATAACTCCCTTTTGATGCATCATTGGAGATTGTATATGGCAGGGTAGCTTGTCGTTACGTCGAGCGACATAAATAAACCACATGTTAGTATTCTAAATTAATTTTATTCCCCATTTCTTGAATATAGATATTTAGTAGCCTAGTACATTGCTACGTAATATCCCTTAATTTACAGCTCGCGTGTGAGGAATTCCACGAGCTGTTACTTTACCCGTGTTATTCATCTCCCAGTGTTCTACGAGGAATTCCGGAGATCCCGAGGATGATTCGTAACTGATGTCTTTGAAAACGTCTTCAAGCTAAGACTTTTCATATTTCTTTGATTATTCAAATTATCAGTATTTTAATTATCATTTATAGAGTGCTGTACACTGGAGATAATACGTGTTTATTATAATGATTAATTTCTGATACTGGATCTATATTCTTATTGGTGATAAATTTTCTATTGATTCTTTAATTGGTCATAAGATTAGGTTATTACACAATGAACTGGTGTACGAACCACACTAGTTCCTAGACGTATATGAAGTTCTAGCAATAACCCCCCAATGTAGGTGTTTGAGGCTTTGATTCAAGTAAATTATTTATACAGCCCATTAATTACTCAAGTGATTATATTTCCTAATATTTATCCATAGTCACTGGTTCTTACAAAAATTTCTAACGATCACATTTTATTAGTTTCCCTCTTTACTATAAAAGCGGGTGGTCCTTCGTAATTGATTTCATTACTTCTATAATATAATATTAATATTACTTCTATAATAATTATATAAATAGAGTCAAGCCCCAAATGTCCCACAGTATATATATATATATATATATATATATATATATATATATATATATATATATATATATATATATATATATATGTCGTACTTAGTAGCCAGAACGCACTTCTCGGCCTACTATGCAAGGCCCGATTTGCCTAATAAGCCAAGTTTTCCTGAATTAATATATTTTCTCTAACTTTTTTCTTATGAAATGATAAAGCTACCCATTTCATTATGTAAGAGGTCAATTTTTTATTATTGGAGTTAAAATTAACGTAGATATATGACTGAACCTATCCAACCCTACCTAACCTAACCTAACCTATCTTTATACGTTAGGTTAGGTTAGGTAGCCGAAAAAAGTTAGGTTAGGTTAGGTTAGGTAGTCGAACAAACATTAATTCATGAAAACTTGGCTTATTAGGCAAATCGGGCCTTGCATTGTAGGCTGAGAAGTGCGTTCTGGCTACTAGGTACGACATATATATATATATATATATATATATATATATATATATATATATATATATATATATATATATATATATATATATATATATATATATATATATATATATATATATATATATATATATATATATATATATATATATATATATATATATATATATATATATATATATATATATATATATATATATATATATATATATATATATATATATATATACTCCCTCTGGCTGGAAGAAGGGGGACCCATAGCCTCGGAGGAAACCACACATAACGCATTGGAGGGAATGTAGGTTCCCCTCCAATACAGTTTCTGTGTGCTTTTCTCCTACCACCCCCTTCCCTTTTTTTTTTCCTCTGTTGTGTATTTAAAGGTTACAAAACATACAAGACAAATGCCTAAAGGTTATGGATCTCTTGAAGCTCCTCCGCTTCTGGACAGGAACCGAGGACGCAGCAAGCATTTCCCCTCTGGATCGCCACACTGAGACGCTGAAACAAAAAACTGGAAGCCCTTGGGGCTCTGGTGACGTCAATGAGCTTGGAACCCAATTCCATGAGAAATCCCAAGGCACTCTTGCCCCAGGGGCCATGCGTCTCAGACGCTATGGGAACAAAGAGGTATTGACCTTCCAGTCGCCTGTACTTGAGTGATTTTGCTGTTTCCCTGTGGTTGGCCGCCCCACCTGCTTGATCAGCTCCGAAGTGTACATAGGTGTCAGCCAGGGTGGATACACATGTGTAGTCCCACACCAACTGTCTACCCTCCTTCCATGAGTATATGGTGATGCCATCAGGGCGAAGTGCGGGGAAATCCGGGTTTTGGACCCCTAGGATGCGAGGTTCTCTCTCCGCTGGGCACCTAGCTGAGACGAGGCTTCTCTTGATGATGTCATTGACCTCGTTGTGTCTTGCATGCCAGCCCTTTGTGCTTCCGCAATGCAACCCATGCAGTCCGTATTGGTCTGCTTCCACCCTGTTGCAAATACACTTGTATTCAGTGTGAATTGGGGCACCAAGGCGGAGGGCCACTGCTACACGAAGGGATTCTGGATCTAGGCGCGTGCCCATTGCTGACATGGGTACTGCCAGGAGGAAGTCTCCTGCATGGGGGGCATGCACTGCTCTGAGGCGGGCTTTCTCCTTGTCTGATGTTGCGACGCTGAGCATGGCATCAGCTACTTTTTCCACTAGAGGGTGGTCCCAGCCGGAGTGTTTGTGTTGTTTTGTTGGCTCTATAATGGTGGCTGGGGCTGCAAGAACATCCAACTGATTTGAACATTCAGTGAAAGCAGGATCGTATATTCCTGCTGAATAACAACAAATAAATATAAAATTTCCACATCTGAGGTGTTCTAAGGTACTTATATACTTTACCTGTTTGTCTAGCAATAGACAACTCATGAGGCTGATATTGTGGATAACCTCATGATTGACCATTCAGCACTAACTTCCTTATGCAAAGCCTGGAAAGGCATAAACAAAATTATTGGTAAGAAGAATAGACGTGTTTCAAATGGAACCGCTTACCCGCCAAATCTGTATATGTCAAAACTCTGCTGCTGAAATTTTAAATCCAGCTTGAAAAAATAATCTGGACAAATGGGCGCACCTTTGACAAGCATCCAGTTTCCTGTCCTCGTCAAGGCCACTAGAGAATTAGTTGCCCTCCGGTAAATTCATGTAATGTTACAAGGTCAGCTTGTCAATATTGCAAGGTCAACGTGGTAGTATAGTATCACTGTATCCTGAGAGCAACGCATGTGTGTGTGATGTGGGAAAAAAAATAAAAAAATAAAGTAGTTAATAAACAGTTGAGAGGCGGGCCGAAAGAGCAAAGCTCAACCCCCGCAAACACAACTATGTGAACACGGGAGGTCGGGTTGTAAGGTGGGGGGGGGCGTAGTGCCTCTCCCGTCGCCATGGTAACGTTTGTAAACAACCTGAGCCAGCTGACCAGAGCACAGGATCATCCACAGTTTATCGAGGGCTCTATATTGTCACTAATGGGGCGTGCAGCTTGTTTTGGTCTTGGACTCAATACCTATCAACCTCTGCAGAATTAGTAAGGCACTTAACATATTAAGTGCTGTGAGTGATACAACCTAAACTGATCAGAAGCATATCTGAAGAGTTAAAGAATTTCCCGAACGCAACTGTCACCATCAATAAATGGTGTCAGCTGGAGGCCTAGACGTCAGTGGCAGGTTTAGGTGTCAGTGACAGGCCTAGTTGTCAGCAAGGAGGCCTAGGTGTCAGGAACGAGGCCTAGTTGTCAGGAAGGAGGCCTAGTTGTCAGGAAGGAAGCCTAGGTGTCAGCAAGGAGGCCTAGGTGTCAGCAAAGAGGCCTAAGGTGTCAGCAAGGAGGCCTAGGTGTCAGCAAGGAGGCCTAAGGTGTCAGCAAGGAGGCCTAGGTGTCAACAAAGAGGCCTAGGTGTCAGCAAGGAGGCCTAAGTGTCAGCAAGGAGGCCTAAGGTGTCAGCAAGGAGGCCTAGGTGTCAACAAAGAGGTCTAAGTGTCAGCAAGGAGGCCTAAGTGTCAGCAAGGAGGCCTAGGTGTCAACAAAGAGGTCTAAGTGTCAGCAAGGAGGCCTAGGTGTCAACAAAGAGGTCTAAGTGTCAGCAAGGAGGCCTAGGTGTCAACAAAGAGGTCTAAGTGTCAGCAAGGAGGCCTAGGTGTCAGCAAGGAGGCCTAAGTGTCAGCAAGGAGGCCTAAGGTGTCAGCAAGGAGGCCTAGGTGTCAGCAAAGAGGTCTAAGTGTCAGCAAGGAGGCCTAGGTGTCAGCAAGGAGGCCTAAGTGTCAGCAAGGAGGCCTAAGTGTCAGCAAGGAGGCCTAAGTGTCAGCAAGGAAGCGTAGGTGTCAGCAAGGAGGCCTAGGTGTCAACAAAGAGGTCTAAGTGTCAGCAAGGAGGCCTAGGTGTCAGCAAGGAGGCCTAGGTGTCAGCAAGGAGGCCTAAGGTGTCAGCAAGGAGGCCTAGGTGTCAGCAAAGAGGTCTAAGTGTCAGCAAGGAGGCCTAGGTGTCAGCAAGGAGGCCTAAGTGTCAGCAAGGAGGCCTAAGTGTCAGCAAGGAGGCCTAAGTGTCAGCAAGGAGGCCTAAGTGTCAGCAAGGAGGCCTAAGGTGTCAGCAAGGAGGCCTAGGTGTCAGCAAAGAGGTCTAAGTGTCAGCAAGGAGGCCTAGGTGTCAGCAAGGAGGCCTAAGTGTCAGCAAGGAGGCCTAAGTGTCAGCAAGGAGGCCTAAGTGTCAGCAAGGAAGCGTAGGTGTCAGCAAGGAGGCCTAGGTGTCAACAAAGAGGTCTAAGTGTCAGCAAGGAGGCCTAGGTGTCAGCAAGGAGGCCTAGGTGTCAGCAAGGAGGCCTAAGGTGTCAGCAAGGAGGCCTAGGTGTCAGCAAAGAGGTCTAAGTGTCAGCAAGGAGGCCTAGGTGTCAGCAAGGAGGCCTAAGTGTCAGCAAGGAGGCCTAAGTGTCAGCAAGGAGGCCTAAGTGTCAGCAAGGAGGCCTAAGTGTCAGCAAGGAGGCCTAAGGTGTCAGCAAGGAGGCCTAGGTGTCAGCAAAGAGGTCTAAGTGTCAGCAAGGAGGCCTAGGTGTCAGCAAGGAGGCCTAAGTGTCAGCAAGGAGGCCTAAGTGTCAGCAAGGAGGCCTAAGTGTCAGCAAGGAAGCGTAGGTGTCAGCAAGGAGGCCTAGGTGTCAACAAAGAGGTCTAAGTGTCAGCAAGGAGGCCTAGGTGTCAGCAAGGAGGCCTAGGTGTCAGCAAGGAGGCCTAAGGTGTCAGCAAGGAGGCCTAGGTGTCAGCAAGGAGGCCTAGGTGTCAGCAAGGAGGCCTAAGTGTCAGCAAGGAGGCCTAAGTGTCAGCAACGAGGCCTAGGTGTCAGCAAGGAGGCCTAGGTGTCAGCAAGGAGGCCTAAGTGTCAACAAGGAGGCCTAAGTGTCAGCAACGAGGCCTAGGTGTCAGCAAGGAGGCCTAGGTGTCAGCAAGGAGGCCTAAGTGTCAGCAAGGAGGCCTAGGTGTCAGCAAGGAGGCCTAGGTGTCAGCAAGGAGGCCTAGGTGTCAGCAAGGAGGCCTAGGTGTCAGCAAGGAGGCCTAGGTGTCAGCAAAGAGGCCTAGGTGTCAGCAAGGAGGCCTAGGTGTCAGCAAGGAGGCCTAGGTGTCAGCAAGGAGGCCTAAGGTGTCAGCAAGGAGGCCTAGGTGTCAGCAAGGAGGCCTAGGTGTCAGCAAGGAGGCCTAGGTGTCAGCAAGGAGGCCTAAGTATCAGCAAGGAGGCCTAGGTGTCAGCAAGGAGGCCTAGGTGTCAGCAAGGAGGCCTAGGTGTCAGCAAGGAGGCCTAGGTGTCAGCAAGGAGGCCTAGGTGTCAGCAAGGAGGCCTAAGGTGTCAGCAAGGAGGCCTAGGTGTCAGCAAGGAGGCCTAGGTGTCAGCAAGGAGGCCTAAGTATCAGCAAGGAGGCCTAGGTGTCAGCAAGGAGGCCTAGGTGTCAGCAAGGAGGCCTAAGTGTCAGCAAGGAGGCCTAGGTGTCAGCAGAAGAGAGGGAGGTCTCAAGAATGGCATCAAGAAGGCCATCTCTGGCCCCACCAGGTAGGGAGAGTGTCCCTTCCAGCACGGATGGTCGCCGGCGCTCCAGTCTCCGCCTCTCTCACTCCCAGGTAAACACGACAGTAACCGTTAAACAGTAACAGCAGTGTAGACAGTGAAATACAAGAGTTTGCATTCTTGTAAGTTTTTTACATTCTTGTAAAGCCACTAGTACGCGTAGCGTTTCGGGCAGGTCCTTAACCCTAATTTCCCCGGAATACGACCCCGCCGAATCGTTTAACAACCAGGTACCCATTCACTGCTGGGTGAACAGAGGCTACAGTTAAGGATTGGCGCCCGGTCAATCCTCCCCGGCCAGGATTCGAACCCAAGGCAAGGCGCTTGCGAAACGCCAGGCGAGTATCTTACCACTGCGCCACGGAGACTAAAAATAACAGCAGTGTAGACAGTGTACCCTAAAAATACGGTAAACAACAGCAGTGAATCAGGTATACCACAGCAGTGTAACAGGTAAAACAACAACAGTCAATCAGGTATACCACAGCAGTGTAACAGATAAAACAACAGCAGTCAATCAGGTATACCACAGCAGTGTAACAGGTAAAACAACAACAGTCAATCAGGTATACCACAGCAGTGTAACAGATAAAACAACAGCAGTCAATCAGGTATACCACAGCAGTGTAACAGGTAAAACAACAACAGTCAATCAGGTATACCACAGCAGTGTAACAGATAAAACAACAACAGTCAATCAGGCATACTACAGCAGTGTAACAGATAAAACAACAGCAGTCAATCAGGTATACCACAGCAGTGTAACAGATAAAACAACAACAGTCAATCAGGCATACTACAGCAGTGTAACAGATAAACTATTGCAGTGTAATAGGTAAACACCAGTTGTGTAATATGTAAACAACGACAATATAACAGGTAAACACAAGACTCACAGGCCTAAAGCAGTAATCACTGTTTGCAACAGTAGTCATTGGTCCACAAAAGAAGCGTCCGATCTAAGACAGTAGTCACTGGTCGAGAATAGCAGCAACAGACCTAAACCATTAGTCACTGCTCCACAACGGCAGCAATAGCTCAAAAACAGAGATTACTGCTCAACACCATTAGTCAAATTGAGATATGATAACTACATATACTGCGAGAAAATGGCACGGTAGATAAAGATATTAAAAATAATTTTTTTCAGTGTAAATGTTATCCATAAGTGGTTAAAATGAACATAAAACGTAATTTTATGCACAAGTCCAGCGTGCTGTCACATATGCGCATATGCGTGCTGTCGCATATGCGTAAACGATCTAAGAAATTCAAAGGGACCAGGGGTCATAGCATTAGAAAAAAACGTTCGAAAGGCGGGGCTTAGGAGCTCATACTTAACCCCTCAAACACATTTAAGTGTTTGTCAATCAAAGTACATCTCAGTGCAGATTATAGTCAAAGTTGCGCTATGATTGATTAAATGATTAATCACAGCGCAACTCATCGTCGTAAACAGAGTTCAGTGCCTCAGCAAAGCAGCTCACTCGTCTAGCAAGTTATTTTGGTCTCTTAAAACATCTCCCAATCTTTATGTACCCAATCTGAACATCTTTTCCATTGTGATCATTGCTGTCTTATATGTGCTGTCAATCTGCTGTATGGTGTCTATTAATCTTGTTTAAATTACTAATCAAGCTGTCAATGTAATCAATCAGAGCTTTAATATAACAATGTGCTTTAATATACTTACTAAGCTCTCTCATCTCATTTTTCTGTTGCAATGTATCTTTATCATTTATCAGTTCTGATAGAAATTACCTACTTAAAATTATCTGCTAGATTAAGGACCTGCCCGAAACGCTGTGCGTACTAGTGGCTTTACAAGAATGTAAATACTGTACTATCCAATGTATTCTCACAAACCCAATGTACCTTCTTGTATATATATAAATAAATAAATAAATAAATAAATAAATAAATAAATAAATAAATAAATAAACAACGCAAGGTCCCCAGACACACAGCAATCTAATGCCAGCAGGAACATGACTGGTCTTAAAAGTTATCTTAAGCATCATCAGTTATTTATTCAATTGTTTAAATGAGTCGCCACACAATTCAGTTACCGTTGCAACACTAATATATACACTTGTATTGCTTCCATAATCTTCTTGTACAATGATGACAGAAACCCACACCAAAACATGAGGAGACGACGACGTTTCGGTCCGTCCTGGACCGAAACGTCTGGACATTATCAAATCGATTGTGATGAGAGCGAGATGTTGTTGTTGTTTTAGATTCAGCTACTTTGAACAAAAAGTTTCAAATAGCACGAGCCAGTAGTGGACTTACCTGGCACAGGAGCTGTGACTGGGAGCGAGATTGATTGATGAAGATTAAGCGACCCTTAAGCCAGTCGGCCGAGCGGACAGCACGCTGGACTTGTGATCCTGTGGTCCTGGGTTCGATCCCAGACGCCGGCGAGAAACAATGGGCAGAGTTTCTTTCACCCTATGCCCCTGTTACCTAGTAGTAAAAATAGGTACCTGGGTGTTAGTCAGCTGTCACGGGCTGCTTTCTGGGGGTGGAGGCCTGGTCGAGGACCGGGCCGCGGAGACACTAAAAAGCCCCGAAATCATCTCAAGATAACCCTAGAGATGGCACGGCATGAATAGCCCGTAATGGATGCGAGATTGATTTATAAATAAGTCTGTCAATCTTCGGCTGTCCAGAGAATCTATCGAAACTGATGCTGCTAGTTTGATGTTTATTCTGATTGATCTTATTTTTATTTGATTGATTCTGTGTGTCCCCTACAGGGGGGACACACAGAATATTGGGAGCAATAGGCGCCCATAATGGGAGCAAGATTGATGATTGATAAAGATTAAGCCACCTTAGAGGTGGCACGGGCATGATGTGGGAGCGAGGGAGACACTGGCATTAAGTAAAGAAAGAGTGAGATGAGGAGCAGCTAAGAGGAGACTTCTCTTACAATCTTTGCCTCTATCACAGTGTGACGGTCTGGAGAATAATACCTTCTCTTCTGGCTATTAGTCGGCCGTTAATTAACGCTTCTTATAATATACTAAAGCTCTTATTGTAACCTCCAGCCTAACTTCCCAATAACCTTTGACGTTTGATCGCCCGATACCCCAACACGAGGATCCTGTACTTCTCAGTTATGAGCAAACTCTGAGAGACTGCCGCCACCATCTGATTCAAATCCCCACTGATTAATTAATTTATTTATTTATTTATTTATTTATTTATATATATACAAGCAGGTATATTGGGTTTGTGAGGGTACATAGCATGGTGTTTACATTCTTGTAAAGCCACTAATACGCGCAGCGTTTTGGACAGGTCCTTAATCTAACAGATAATTTTAAGTAGCTAAATTCTTGCAAAATTTATAAAATGTTAACATGTACATTGTAAGAAAAAAATAGAGAGATTAGTAGGTGTACTAAAGCACATCGATAACTCTCATTGATAACATTGACAGCTTGATTGATAATTTAACAAAGATAAATAGGCACAATTCAACACATTGATAGCACATATAAGACGACAGCAATGATCACAATGGTAAAGTTGTTTGGCTTAGGTACATAAATATTGGAGGATTGGGTAGCACTAGATACAGTGCAAGTTTAAAGCACAAGGTAGGAAACTTTGAAGATGAAATTAGGTACTTTTTTTTTTAAATGAGGCAAAAGTTGTACAGCTTTTCCGTTCATTAGGGAGTGAGTTCCGTAGACTAGGTCTCTTTATCTGCATAGAGTGTTTACACAGATTAACCTCTTGACCCTGACAAATGGGCGACAGGGGGGGGGGGGAAAGAGGTGACCGCTTTTACCCCTGTCGTAATAACAGCGGCCTCTATTGTAATAACCCGATGTTCCCCAGTATAAATCAAGTTTGACTGGGGATATCAAAGAGATATTTATTTCTGGTGTGGTGATAATGGGTCCTATTACATCTGTCCAGGGAGAGTTTCAGAGCAGGGTTTGCATTTAAGAACAAGGTTTTGTAAATGTAATTGACAAGAGAATGTGTAGAGTGAGGCTATATTTAGCTTGTTTAGGGAGTTAAACAAGGGGGCTGAGTGTTGTCTGAAAGCAGAGTTTGTTATTATTCTGATCGCACATTTTTGCTAGGTGATAATGGACTTGAGGTGGCTTGCAGTGGTTGAACCCCATGCACAGATACCATAATTAAGATAGGGATAGATTAGTACATAATATAGTAAGATGAGAGTAGAGTTAGGTACATAGTATCTGATTTTAGAGAGAATACCATCAGTTTTAGAGACTCTTAGTTATGTGTTGTATGTGGGTGCTGAAGTTGAGTCTCTTGTCTAGGAATAGACCAAGAAACTTTCCATCATTTTTATTATTGATGTTAACATTGTCTCTCTGAAGCTGAATTGCATTTGTTGATTTGCTTCCAAATAAGATGTAGTAGGACTTTTTTATGTTTAGTGCGAGTCTGTTGGTTGACATCCATAAGTGGACTTTTTAATTCATTATTCACAACATTATTTAAAGTGTGTGGGTTAGGGGTCTGAGTAGATGAGAGTAGTATCATCAGCAAACAATATAGAGTTTTAAGAATGTTAGAGACATTAGGCAGATCATTGATGTATATGAGAAATAGGAGAGGTCCTAAGATGCTGCCCTGTGTCACTCCTACGGTTAATGGTAGAGTGGGAGAGGTTATATCATTGATGGCTACACATTGGTGTCTATCACTAAGATAGGATCGGATATAGTCCAGGGCAAGGCCTCGGATTCCATAATGATGGAGTTTAAGTAAGAGGTAGTTATGGTTAACGATATCAAAAGCTATTCGCAGGTCAATGAAGAGTCCAATCAGAAACTCATTTTTGTCAAGGGCTGAGTAGATTACATCAAGGAGACTAATAATTGCATCGTTGGTACTCTTTTGGGAGCGGAAGCCAAACTGGCAGGGGCTGAGAATGTCGAATTTTACGAGGTAGGAGTAGAGCTGTTTGTAGATAATTTGTTCAAATATTTTTGATAGAATGGGTAGGTTTGATATTGGTCAATAATTGTTTATGTCTGCCGGATTGCCTCCATTATGAACTGGCGTTACTCGTGCTTTTTTTCTGGATATCAGGGAAGGTATGACACTAGAGATTTGTTGAACAGCAGAGCTATAGGTGGCGCAAGGGCATGGGAGGCGCTCTTGAATACAATGGATGGTATTTCACTGATGTTCCCAGCTTTTGTTTTTAGTGAGTGTATGATGGACACAACATCTGTCGGGCTGACTGGTGAAAGGAGAAGAAAGTTTGGATAGCTGCCTGAGAGATATGCGTTGATATGTATCTTTGGGATTTTTCTGACAAGGTTAGCACCAACCGATGAAAAGAAGCTATTAAATTCATTTGCCGTTTCTAAATCAGTTGCAGTTGTATAGCCATCCTTTGAGAGTTTTATCTGGTTATATGAGTGTTGTTTAGTTCCTAGGATGTTAGAGATGGTTTTTCATGTGCATTTCATTTGCCTTTTGCTTCTTTGAATCTATTCTCATAATAGGAGAGTTTTGCTTTTCTTATGATACTGGTAAGCATTGATGAGTACCTTTCAACTACTTCCTTTTAGGCCAATCCTAAGTTTCTTTTCATATTCATGTTTCTTGTTGATTGATTTGAATATGCCACTTGTGAGCTACGGATTCTTTATTCTTTTGTCAGTTATTTGCTTGGTGAGGAGGGGACAATGAGTGTTGTAGAGACTTAAAATTTTGGAGAAGAAGAAAGAAGAGAAGTTCATGAATTTATATCCAGTGTATTGCTGAATTCAGATTCCCAGTTGATAAAGTGAAGTGCATTTGTGAGATTGCCTAAAGCTGCTTCACTGTGTAGCCTGAATGTAAGCTTCTTGCTTTCTGGTGGTGTTGTGTCCATGTTTGCTGTGACGAAGGTACGATAGTGGTCAGTTGTTCTGTCAAAGATTATACCAGATGCAAGGGGAGCTGTTATGGTAGTCCATAAGTGATCCTAAAGAAGTGGCAGATGTTTTAGTGACTCGGGTGGGCTTGGTGATTGTGGGGATTAGAACACAGGAGTTCATGCTGTTTAGGAAATAGTCGACTTGAGGGCTATTTTGTTGACCCAGGTCAATATTGAAGTCTCCTCCTAGAATGATGTGTTTTTTGTTGAGATTATTGTTTATGATAAGAATACTTAAGTTATCTGAGAATGAAGCTGTATTAGTATTGGGAAATCTATAAAAAGCTCCGATAGTCAAGGAGGATTTAATGGATTTATTCGAGAACTGACAAAAGTATATCTAACTGACTGTGAAACAGTAAACAACCAATTAGAAATAAAGCCACGAATGTTGATCCCCAGTTATGAATAGGAGGGATGAATGTACTTTAAAGTGTGGTTTAACTCAACCAAAAGGGCTTATATTTATTAAGTTTTTATTTATTTATTTATTTATTTATTTATTTATTTATTTATTTATTTATTTATTTATATACAAGAAGGTACATTGGGTTAGAGAGAATACATAGAATAGTATTTACAATCTTGTAAAGCCACTAGTACGCGCAGCGTTTCGGGCGGGTCCTTAATCTAACAGATAATTTTAAGTAGGTAAATTCTATCAAAATTAATAAAATGATAACAAATACATTGCAAGAAAAAAATGAGATGAGAGAGATTAGTAAGTATATTAAAGCACATTGGTATATTAAAGCTCTGATTGATTACATTGACAGCTTGATTGGTAATTTAAACAAGATTAATAGACACCATACAGCAGATTGACAGTACATATAAGAAGACAGCAATGATCGCAATGATAAAGATGTTCAGATTGGGTACATAAAGATTGGGAGATTGGGTAGCAATAGATACAGTGCAATTTTAAAGCAAAAGGTAAAAAACTTTGAAGATGAAATTAGGTACTTTTTAGTATTGTTTTTGAATGACGCAAAAGTTGGACAGCTTTTCAATTCATTAGGGAGTGAATTCCATAGACTGGGTCCCTTTATTTGCATAGAGTGTTTACACAGATTAAATTTGACTCTGGGGATATCAAAGAGATATTTATTTCTGGTGTGGTGATAATGGGTCCTATTACATCTGTCCAGGGAGAGTTTCAGAGCATGGTTTGCATTTAAGAACAAGGTTTTGTAAATGTAGGTGACACAAGAGAATCTGTGGAGGGAGATTATGTTTAGCATGTTTAGGGAGTTAAACAAGGGGGCTGAGTGTTGTCTGAAAGCAGAATTTGTTATTATTCTGATAGCAGAATTTTGCTGGGTGATGATGGACTTGAGGTGGTTTGCAGTGGTTGAACCCCATGCACAGATACCATAATTAAGATAGGGATAGGTTAGTGCATAATATAGAGAGATGAGAGCAGAGTTAGGTACATAATATCTGATTTTGGAGAGTATACCAACTGTTTTAGAGACTTTCTTAGTTATGTGTTGTATGTGGGTGCTGAAGTTGAGTCTCTTATCTAGGAATAGGCCAAGAAACTTTCCATCATTTTTACTACTAATGTTAACATTGTCTATCTGAAGCTGAATTACATTTGTTGATTTGCTTCCAAATAAGATGTAGTAGGTCTTTTCTATGTTAAGTGTTTGTTGGTTGATATCCATAAGTGAACTTTTTTTTAGTTAACAACAACTATTTTTTTATTATTTTTTTTTATTTTTTTTTAACTATTTTTTATTAACAACTATTTGTTTCAACTATTATTGTGTTTATTTCTACTATTTATATATTTTATATATATTTATATATCTCTATTTTATATAACAACTGTTTATTTCAACTATTTAACAACTAAAATAAAATATATTTTATTAACAACTATTTTATTAACAACTATTTTTTATTAACAACATTATTTAGCATATGTGGGTTGGGGTTAGAGTAGATGAGGGTAGTATCATCAGCAAACAAAATAGGTTCCAGAATGTTAGAGACATTAGGCAGATCATTGATGTATATAAGAAATAGGAGAGGTCCCAAAATGCTGCCCTGTGGCACTCCAACGGTTATTGGTAGAGTGGGAGAGGTTATATTATTGATGGCTACACATTGATGTCTATCACTAAGATAGGATTGGATATAGTCCAGTGTATGGCCTCGGATTCCATAATGATGGAGTTTACGTAAGAGGTAATTGTGATTAACAGTATCAAAGGCCTTTCTCAGGTCAATGAAGAGTCCAATGAAGTAGACCAAGGAATGCTTTCGACGTTCACTTGGGCTTATTCAATAACACAGGAAAATTCCACTAAACACTATTAATCAAATCACAGTTTATTAAACACAATAGTATATTGAAACACGCTCTACAACTTAAATATCTCTTTCTTAATTAATGTGGATTACTACCACTGCACTTAATTAAAAAAAAACACTTTACTTTAAAAACACAAGCCAAGCCGGATGGGATGCCTGCTTTAGGGAGAGGTCTTGACCTCGAGATGTTACCAGCCACACTACCCAAAACTGCTCTCACTAACTGTAAAGCTGACCTAGGCCAGTTGCCAAACTAATTTTCAAAGATGATTAACAAAGCTAAATATATTCACTAGGCAACTAAGATTAACTGGATCTTTATTCTCAAATGATGGTAATTTATATTGGTACTTGAGCAAGGTTGATTATAAATTATAATATCTGAATAATACTTGAAATTCTCCATATTACTGAATTAACAAACAAAGTGATCAGTAGCACTTCTTACAGCCATGTCACCGTTCTTGACCAAAGGATGAGTCAGTCTTGGCAAGATCAACTAGTTCCCAACCTAGATGACCTCTATGTCCCTTTGTCAACTTATGGGACGGATTCTTTACTCAAACATAACATAGGTGCGTAACCAAGGAAGTTATTAACTGCAATTACATTTAATACACGAATTCTCTAAATTTAGTGAATTAACCACCACGGAAGGCGGTGGCTATCTTGTTTAAAACCCTACACCACTAATCCCTTGACCCTTTGGAATGACTCTTCCCAAGTTCCCGGGTAAAACACTACCCCTCTGACTGTAGAACTAGATTACCTATGTATACAATACAATACAAGATATATAATAGTCTACATCAATTCTTAAAACAGCTAGACTGTTACAACAAAACGTCTATTCAACTTTCACACAAATATCGACATTTGCTGACGAGTTTTTTTCGTTTCGTTAGCGCGGATGGTCACCAAAGAATGCAATGTCCCGCATCATTCCTCAAGGCTCCGCGAGCTCAAAGATAACCCATTTTCGCAGTTGGAGAACTCTGACGACGAGCAGCAGGTGGAGGAAGCTGAGGATGAACTGGAGGAGGAAGAGGACGAGGAGGAGGAAGAGGACATCTACCAGCTGGACCTGCAGTCCGCCGAGCTCTCTTCTGACTACTGGCAGATACAGAAGATGGTAAAGGTGAGTGTGGAGGGGGGTCGGGGAGGTGGTGATGGAAGGTGAGACAGGTGGAGTGTAGTTGGAGGTTGTGATGGAGGGTAAGAGAGGTAGAGAGGTTGTGGTGGAAGTTGACTTTGAGGAATAAGGGTGTGAGTTCTCCTGGAAGGTGAGTGGGCTGAGGTTCTGTTGAAACCTGAGTGGTTTAGAGAGGGAGAGGTTCTCCTGGAAGGTGAGTGAGGTGAAGAGGAGGATGAGGGTGTGGTGCAAGCCGACTGTGAGAGGCAGAAATATATACAATGGAAAAGGTGAGTATTAAGCTGAAAACCGAGAATATTTCCTTAATTTAATAAGGAATCTGCACACATATACAAACAATACAGTTCATAACAAGTATTAGTGAGACAAATGTGTATCAATGACCCTACTCAAATCGCCTTTTAACTGATTAATAAAAAATGGATCTAAATTATACAAACCACTGCTAATGTTCAAATTGCATGATTTTGTAATCTGTATTAAAGCAGATTATATTATGTTCCTATTGAAAGGGAGTTTTATGGTTCGTTATTAAAGAAGCTATCTCCCAATCAATTTGGTGAGAATTTTCTGACAAATGAACAAACAAAGCATTAGACAATTGGCCATGTCTTACAGAATATTTATATTGCGAAATTCTACTTTTCAAATCTAAAAATGTTTGCCCAACATAGAACCTATTACAGTCTTTATAAGGTACTGTATTTTATAAATGACACAATTATCACTTTGAGGGCTGTTTCTAGCTAATAGTTTACCAACAGTATTTTCGTAATTGAGCAATACATATATATATAAAAGTTTCAAGGCCTTGACAATATTTTCAAACCCAGAAAAATATGGTAAACATAACACATTCCTTGGGGGAAATTTCTCACTTCATATATTATTATAATATGTACGACGTGCTTTGCTACGACAAACTTCCAAAACACTCAGTGGATAACAAAGATTAAGACCAATAGAATCAATATTCTTAAATTCTTCATCTAAGAATTCTGGACTCACAACCCGAAAAGTTCTTAGATACATAGAGGAAAAATTTGATTGTTTCACATTGTATCTATGCCCTGAGAAATAATGAACAAAAGATAAATTATTTACTATGGAGACTGAAATTGATAAATGTTTGTCGTTCTTAGATATACTTATTCATAGGAAAGTTTGTTCACTAAGTTTAGTGTTTACAGAAAGCCTACGAATAATTAATCTTATGTTCATTAATTCTCAGGGAATAGATAAAATGTGAAACAATAATTTTTTTCTCTATGTATCTAAGAGCTCTTCGTGTTCTTAGTCCAGAATTCTTAGATGAAGAGTTTAAGAATATTGATTCTAACTATCGTCTAGTGTGATTGGGAACTGAGATTTCATAGAAAAGCCGCCCGATTCCCAGTTCTTTCAATGATCTGAGTAACACAAATGGGAATCCTTATGGGTTTGAATCTTTCTGGGGTGTGGAGTTTTCAGTTGCATATTGGCTTGGGAACCATTCAAGCTTGTTTTTTTTTTTTTTTTTTTTTTTTTGAGATATATACAAGAGTTCTTACATTCTTGTACAGCCACTAGTACGCGTAGCGTTTCGGGCAAGTTCTTAATCCTATGGTCCCTGGAATACGATCCCCTGCCGCGAAGAATCGTTTTTTCATCCAAGTACACATTTTACTGTTGCGTTAAACAGAGGCTACAGTTAAGGAATTGCGCCCAGTAAATCCTCCCCGGCCAGGATACGAACCCATGACATAGCGCTCGCGGAACGCCAGGCGAGTGTCTTACCACTACACCACGGAGACTGATAAATTTGTTTGCATTTGTGGTGCTCACGTGGCCCCACTAAGTGAAGTGTTCGATAAAATATCTATGCCCGAGTCTTTCATCCAATGCCCCCTGTTACCTAGCAGTAAATAGATACCTGGGTGTTAGTCAGCTGTCACGGGCTGCTTCCTGGGGGGTGGAGGCCTGGTCGAGGACCGGGCCGCGGGGACACTAAAGCCCCGAAATCATCCCAAGATAACATAATACAGTCCCTTTAATATTCAATGCATTATTAAATAAGAACATCCATAGGACACTAGTTCATGAAATTAATATCAAACCATTTGCTCTACCTAGTTTTCCACTTTTTCCACAAAAAAGTGGTGGTCCTTCGTAGCTATCGAAAATAGTATCAATTTAAATGAATAAAATGAGTCAGGTTTTCCCACAGTACAGAGAACATGTAAGAATAATCTGAGAATGTGAAATAATATGTAAGAACATATAGAGAAAATGTAAGACCATGTAAGAACTAGTGAGAATAAGAAAAAGAGAGAAGGGAACTAACTGAGAACAAGAATAACGTGTAGCACGCTGTACAGAGAACATGTAAGAATAATTTGAGAATGTAAAAGATTATGTAAGAACATATCGAGAAAGTGTAAGATCATGTACAGCCGCAGCTCTTATCCAGGCCTGGGGTTGTTGCTGTTGCCTACTCGTTGGAACCTGTGGTTGGAGGGGTTTGTTTGGGTTTAAACTGTTAATAGATCAACCCGTCCTCGCAAATTTAATAAGTCAATATTGACTTATTAGTTGCGTGCATAGATGACATACTAAACATAATAGTTTCCCTTGAAAAGTTTCATAGAAAACACCGACCTTACCTAACCTACTTAGTATGTTAAAATAAGCATCTTATAGCTTCGTAATTACAATTGCTACTTAACCTATTATAGGTATAGGTTAGGTAATAATTGTAATTACGAAGCAATAAGATGCTTATCTTAACATACTAAGTAGGTTAGGTAAGGTCGGTGTTTTCTATGAAACTTTTCAAGGGAAACTATTATGTTAAGTATGTCACCTATGCACATATTTAATAAGTCAATATTGACTAATTAAATTTGCGAGGACGGGTTGAATAGATAGTGGTATGGGAATCGATATGGAGAAAGGAGGCAATAAATGTATGCGTTGGTTGGGGAGGGGGGGATGAAAAATGAACAGGGAAGGAGAAAGGCCTCAAAATAACAATACACTTAAAGTATATTACACGAACAGTAGGAGTCTAAGAAACAAAATAATCGATTTAAATCCTCTTGTTTGCACGGAAACAATAGATATTTTTGCACTTACCAAAACATAAATGAGTGTAAAAACCAAAGAACTATTAGCTGAATATCAAATAAACGGATTTAAACTATTTCACACAGATAGATATATTAGACGAGGAGGGGGATTAGCCATATATGTTAAGGAAAATTTGAAATGTAGTCTCAAAGAGGGAATCAAAACTGAGGCACACACAGAAACTATTTGACTAGAATTAAACGAAAAAGCTAGAAATCTTATAATAGGAGTTATATACAGGCCACCAAACTTAGAATAGAAGCAGAGCATCTATGGGATAAACTATCTAGAGCATCTTGGTCTAACAGTATTTGTGTCATGGGTGACTTTAATTTTAGTGGATTAAAATGGATTAACAGAACAGGGAATAATGAAGCAGAAGATTTTCTAGAATTAATTGACGATTGCTTTCTTACGCAACACATTAAGGAACCAACACGGGAAAATAGTATTTTAGACTTAGTGTTAACTAACAGGGAAACACAAATTAATGACATCGAAATAGGGAGTGAGCTAGGGAACAGTGATCACAAAGAAATCAGATTTCGCATAGAATGGAATAGATTTGAAGGAGAAAATTCTGTTAAAGTGTCAGATTTTCGAAAAGCTGACTTTAATGGACTAAGAATTTTTTTGTGTGAAATAGATTGGAAAGTCTTGGGTATGGGGTGTGGGCCGGTCTTGGAGTGAGATGTAAACCCAGCGATGAGTGATGTAAAAAAAAGATTTTGATATGGATTTAACATATAACTTATTTAAAATATTCTAAGCAAAGCACAGGCATGTAGTATACCATACAAATTGAATACATCGAATAATAATGACCCGAACTGGATAACAAAGGATCTGAAGAACCTTATAGGTAGAAAGAGAACGTGGTACAAAAGGATTATTTATAGGGAAGTCAGTTTAGAACAAGAATTCGTCCAACTGGTTAGAAATGCTAAAAAAGATATAAGGAAGGCAAAAAGAAATTATGAAGTTCGCATAGCAGGCCAAGCAAAGACAAATCCTATAGTTTTTTTCAGTTTTATCGAACAAAGATTAGGAAAAGGATATAGGTCCAGAAAAAACTGAGACAGGTCAGATAACTGATAACTACAAAGAGATGAGTAGTATTTTTAATAAATATTTTATTTCTGTGTTTATTAAAGAGGAACTTAACATTATGCCTTTTGATGAACAAGTCTATGTGGGTGGGGACGAGGACAGGTTGACCAGTTTAGCAGTTACCAGGGAGGATGTTATTAAATAAATAGTGAAACTCAAGCCAAACAAATCCCCAGGGCCAGATGGATTGTTTGCCAGGGTGCTTAAAGAATGCAAAGAGGAGCTTTGCAAGTCATCATCTTCCATATTTAATAAATCATTAGTTAGGCAGAGTGCCAGAGTCGTGGAAGGTTGCTAATTTGGTTCCAATTTTCAAGAACGGAGATAAATCACTTGCGTCAGACTTTCAGCCAGTTATCCTAACATCTATTGTTGGAAAGTTACTTGAATCGATAATTGCAAATACCATTCGTCTTCATCTTGAAAAACATAAATTAATAAATGATTCATCACATGGTTTTACAAATGGCATTTCAGGTTTAACAAATTTGCATTCATTTTATTCCAGCATAGTTGAGGCAGTTGATAGTGATAAGGTTTGTGATGTTGTGTACCTTGACTTTAGCAAAGCTTTTGATACAGTGCCACATGAAACACTGATTAAAAAAGATAGAGGCTCATGGTATTGGCTTCTATATTAAGTTGGATTAGGGCATGGCTATACCAAAGGAAACAAAGAGTTAGTATAAATGGGGTTATCTTGAGATGATTTCGGGGCTTTAGTGTCCCCGTGGCCCGGTCCTCGACCAGGCCTCCAAGTACAGGAA